TCTGCTCCCGTAAAGATTTACAGCCTCAGAAACCCTGTACAGGGTCGCTATGAGTCAGAATCGACTCCACGGCACTTAACAACAACAGCAACAACATAGGCTGGAAAAGAGAAAACCCTCACTCACACACACAAGAAAACAAAACAGAAAGAGGAAAAAGGACACAACAATGAAAAGAGAAAAAAATCAGTAAAAACAGACAGCATCCAGAAAAAAAGAATATAATAAGTATAAAGACAAAAGAGGGTCAGGGTCACAGAGCTATAGAAGAGAAAAATAATAGTGTGCATAGAGATGGTGGTTGTTGTTGGTGTGCCGTGGAATGCATTCCGATTCATACCAACCCTGTGCAAGGCACTTACTGCTCCTTAACATAAGACCTATAAATTTAATAATAACTCAAACCAACCCCCTGCCATAGAGTTGATTCTGACTCATAGCGACTCAGCATTGGGTTTCTGAGGAGCAAATTGTGGGTCTGAATGGCCAACCATGTGGTTTGAAGCCCATCGCTGATCCTACAGCACCACACCAGGAGTCCACTGTTGTTAAGTGCTGTCAAGTCAATTCCGACCCATAGGGACTCTGTATACGGTTTTCAAGGAGCAGCTGGTGAGCTTTTGAACCACTGACCTTGCAGTTCAAATGACTTTGCAGTCTGACACATTAGCCCACAGCACCACACCAGCTTGTTCCCAGAAGTCTATAGCTCTTCCATAATTTGTATTGAAGATTAATAAGGAGAAAAACCTCTAAATTTATTTAATGCATTAAAAGTATCTTAACTGATATCTTTATATCTCCATTTCTTCCCTTTTGCCCTAATACTGCCCAGGTCCCTTTCCCAACAGTCCTTCCATTTTTACCCATTTACCCATTTATCCATTTTACCCATGTACGACCATACATCAGGGTCATTGTCATTTTGGGGCCATGCCCTGAGCTCTGCAGTTCTGTTTCTCTCTTATTCTTGGCTTTGGGCCTGTCACTTGGGCCATATACCCAGTTCCTTTCTAACCCGCACCACTACAAAAATCTCTTCTTTCACAAATAAGCTATGTGCTCTATCTTAGCTTCAGCAGTTTTTCCTCCTTTCAAATGTTGCTCCTGAATCAGCATTTAACAAACTTCAATCTTTAGAGTCAGGCCCTTCTCTTGTCAACAACTGTACACACACACACACACACACACACACACACACACACGGAGTTATAAAACACTCACACTAACGTCACCAACAACACCCCCGCCCCAAAAAAAGAGGGAATAGAAGCAAATACTGTTGAAAAAGGATGCACAGAGATTATAATCATTGCAATGAAATGATGAGTGTAAAACTGATATTCTGCCATGTAAATATCACTCAATTCACAATAAAAACTTTTAAAATATGAAATTTAATTAAATTTAAAGATAAATTTTTTGTGAATTTCAAAATTAAATCACTAAAAGCTTTAAAAAAAAGTTTGGTAGGTTGTGTTTTCATTATCATTTGACTCAAGGGATAGTTTTATTTCATTTTTTATTAGCATTGTGATCTGAAAAGATGCTTTGTAGTATTTTGATGTTTTTAAATTTATTGAGGTTTGCTTTGTGACCTACCATATAGTCTATTCTGGAGAATGTACCATGTACACTGGAAAAGAATGTATACTGACCTCTTGTTGGGTTGAGTGCTCTGTATATATGTCTATGAGATCAAGTTGGTTGATTGTGTTATTTAGTTCTTCTGTGTCTTTGTTGAGTTTCTTTCTATTTGATAGGCCTTTCATCAGAAGTGAGGTATTAAAATCTCCTGATGGCATTTAACAACAACAACAAAAAAAAAACCCTCACACTACATTAAAAGCTCTTTAATAACTTACCTTGAGATTTCTTCTAAAGAATAGTATTATGGATTAAGGTAAGCAGTAACTCTCCATAGCACATAGCTCCTTTAGGACCAGAATGTACTTCCTGACTACAGTGTCCAGGGATGCCCAATTTAGAAGGAAATTTTGAGTGAAAAAGCCACCTAAATCCTCCCCTGAGAAATTCCAGCTGTGATCTAGAGTCTGGGCTCACTGGTGTGCACAGTTGTGACTATATACCCTGTTGTAGCCGCACATTCTGGCTCCTTCTTTTGTTTGTCTCAGGTTTCTTAAGTTTGGTCCCTGGTCACTCCCTCATGCATGCCTCCAAACCCACCAATTCTGATTCATAGATTTCTGACACTGTAAATCTTTACGGGAGCAGACTGCCTCATCTGTCTCCAAGGCTGGTGGTTTTGAACCACCAATCTGATGGGTATCAGCACACCATCTAACCCACAGTGCCCCAGGGTTGCCTCATGTCTTACTTAGTATTTTTTCAACAGCCTCTCCCTTCCTCACTCCCATCAGAAAGCATCTAGCCTTTGCTTACTCAGAGCCTGGCCAAGGAACAAAATTCCCTAGTGGCTCTGTAGGACTACTAACCTCAGGGTTGGCAGTTCAAGCCCATCTGCTGCTTTGTGGGAGAAAAATGAAGGTTTCTGTTCCCATAAAGATTTACAGCCTAGGAAACCCTATATAGACTCATTAAGAGTCAGAATTAATCTGATGGCAGGAGGGGTATGGCCAAGAAGCAGGTCCTCAGATGAACAGCTTCTCTATCAGCCAAGGTGAGTTTCTCCCAATTAAATCAGAGGCATCTGCAGGCCTGCAAGGGATATGTGTAAGCTCCTCCACTTCCCTCAAATAGTAGAATCAGATGGAAAAGTCAGAGACTATTCTGATTCTAACAGTGTGAAAACTGGAGGCCAAAGGAACTCATTGGCTTGTCCAAAGACATTCAAATTAGAAATGGAATCAACCCTGACCCCTGGGTCAGTTCCCAGGCTCCCAGTCTAAGCTAACAGTCCCACCACACAACCTCAAAAACGCTGTATATAGTCCGTTGTTGTTCTGTGCCATCAAGTCAATTCCAACTCATCGCGACCCCATTAGGACACAGTAGAACTGCCCCAAACAGTCTCCTAAGCTACAGTCTTTTATGGAAGCAGATTACTAAGTCTTTTGTGGAGCCATTGGTGGGTTCAAATTGTCTGCCTTTTAATTAGCAGCCAGGTACTTACCCATCGTGCCACCAGGCCTCCTTATATACTATAGGTCACTATCCCATTAATCCCTAAGTCAGTCTTCATATGAGAAAGTTCAGTGGAAAGAAAAGGAAGGATTTTCCACTGATACCACTAATATGACATATGTTGTTGTTGTTAAGTGCCGTGGAATCAGTTCCAACTCATAGTGACTCTGTATAGGATTTTCCAGGAGCAACAGGTGAGTTTGAACCACCAACCTTGAGGTTAGCAGTCCAGAGCTTATCCCACAGTGCCACACCAAGACTCCAGTTTTAAAATAGGACCATTGAACTAAATAAATAATAAAGAGCCATAATACGAACAGAGCTTGAAGGCCTAAGAGGATAGTTGTACTAGGAAAAAATAATAGCAAACATTTCAAAGAGGCTTCTGTGTGGTAGGTTCTATAGTGGAACTTCTTTTTCATTTGTCATCTTGAACCCCCTCAATATTCCTGCAAGAAGAGCATGATCATTTTCAGTTCACCTTTCAAGGAGTTCACCTTTCCCAGGTCATAAAACTAGTCATTTGAATGGCCAGCATTTGACTCAAGGACTATTAGACTGGTGAGCCCAAGATATTTTCCAATACATCTGACCTATGATATTTTAGCCCAGTGAGATCTTGGTTTGCTGGCATCTGAAACAAAAAGGGAAACTTAGTCCTTAGCCATGAGACATAAGAAAGCAAAGGAAATCATCAGGACAAAGAAATGATTTCCTACCGTGAAACTAGAAGAAGAGTTATTTCATAAATCAGTTTATTATCTATCCATTTATTGTATAAAAATAAAGATGAAACCACTTAATCCATTTTAACACTTTCTAAAGCAGGCATACGAGCACATCACTCCTTCTTTCTAAAGCAGGCATACGAGCACATCACTCCTCCCACTCAAAATCTTCTCAAGCTCTCCATTGTCATTCATCAGTGATTTTCAAATTTGTAAAAAAATAACAGGCTGCTATTAAATAAAATGAAATCTTACTTGCAATGTCAAATATGGCAAGAAGCAAGCCTGCACAAACTAAAGCAGAAACTAAAGAGAGAGAAGATGAAAGGGTGGTTTGGGGAGCTCAGGCATGTCACCCTTCTGAGTTGGTTCCCGCTTTGGCCAGCAATTCTTGCCCAAGAAGACCTTTAACTTCCCTTATAAAACCTAGGATTCCTTCTGAAATGTACCAATCAATGTAAGCAAATGAAATGTTTCTAACATTATGTTATTGTTGTTGTTAAGTGCCATTGAGTGGGTTCTGACTCATAGCGACCTTGTAGAGAGTTTCTGAGGAGCTGCTAGTAGATTTCCACCAACCTTGCTGTTAGCCTGCAATTAGCAGTCCAGTGCTTACCCTACAGCGACATACCAGGACTGATGTTTGTTAAGTGCCTTTGAGTTGGTTTCCACTCACAATGGCCTTGTGGTTCTCAGTCCAGTGCTTATCGTATGAGCCATTGTGCTCCCATTAGCCTGAAAGAGGCTCCACCCCTATAATCTATCTTGTCCAAGACATTCATTTATTTCCCCTCCACAACCATAAGCACTCGACCACAGGCAGTTTGAACCACAGGGTTGGCAATTCACACTCACCAGCCACTCCTCGGAAACCCTATATAGGGTCACTGTGGGTCAGAATCAACTCTATGGCACTTAACAACAATCCCTCCCTCAGGTCCCCACACTTAAAGGTCTGCTCCTCTGTTAGAGCTCTTAGCTCAGTCTTTTTGTTTGAAGTCACCTGTGTACATGTCTCTCTTCTTCACCATCCCATGAGATAGTGAACATTTAGAGAACACCTTGGTTCTTGGTGTTTATTGAGTTTTTGCCCAGTCTCTCCTAACCTACAAATAACTTTCCCACAGTAAAAGTACACAGTGTGAACTTTGTTGTTGCAGGTCTACCATGTGTACCACCCGTGACTATGACCTGGAAGAAATCCCCTTGGATGACGACGACTCAAACACTATAGAATTCAGAATCCTTGCCTTTTATGCCAAACACCATGTCTTCAAGAGCACCCCTGATGTCTTCTCACCAAAGCTGCCCATAACAAGAAGTTTATCCTACATGTTTGCCCCTCTTGGCCAGAGGACACAGACACCGAAGCCTTCCAGGAGTTCCCAACCCAGTGACAAGCGCTTTGCCAAGAAAACATCTTTTGGGATACCATATTTCAGAGGAGGAGGCGTCAAGGATGTAGAGTCTGCGGAATCCTATTTACAGGGGAATCAAAGACCAATAGAAAATCAGGGTGGTTTTAACAGTCTGCAGTGGTCCCAATCATCTTCTAATGTGGAACCCCACAAAGAACAAGAAGGTAGGCTTTTGGGATGTCTTTGTTACCCAGTCATGTCTCTCCCTTCTTGGTGCATAATAATTGATCTCCCATCTGGTGCTCATGCCACGCATGGCAAGGCATTCAATGTATCTGAACTTTCCTGTTTATTGTTTCTATAATCGGTGCCCTACTTTTCTCAAGATGGAGCAGGAAATAAGAGGAGCTTAGTGAAAGGTGATGGCACTGATTTTCTAGCCATGAACTCACTGCCCAAATTCTTACTCCTCTGGGAAACCTATATAAAAGAAAGAGAGAGACAGGTTCAGACTTCCCTTCCAGAGGCAAGTCAGCTCACCTCTGGACCTCAGCATTTCTGCCTGAACGTTGTGGGTATTCCTGTCCTCCCTACCTCTTAGGGTTGATGGAAAGATCAGATCAATACATAAAAAAAAAAGACTTTTAAAACCCAATCTATAAAAACAACTGAGAAGCAATTGGACAAAAATCTTCTCTCACAAAATAAATAGAACTTGGTGAAAATAAACATTTTTTCACAAAAGGTTTTATCATTGGGACTTGTTCTTTGCCTACAAATGTCAGCATAAACATCTTCATCTTCAGCAATGCCTAGCACATAATGCACAGCTTTCAAATAGAAATTTCTCCTCCTGCTGGATTTGTTCAGCCTGAGGAACTTGTCAATAATTAGTCAACAGATGGCAGTAATGGTTTAATTTTAAAATGCTGTGATGGTTCTGGCTTAACCACACATGGACAAATTTAGATCATTCACTAAGATCCCATTAGTTCTGAGAATTGTAGAAAAGGATGCATTAGAGATTATCTGGGGACCCTTACTGCAAAGTTCACGTAAGGAAATGAGAGACCCACAGAAGGAACCTGTAGAAGGAAACCCTGCCCCAGAATAAGCCCCAAGATAAAGTCCAGAAAGCAGGTATCTTTCTGTCTCTGCCCAATGTTCCTTTTGTCTATCAGATGGTACCAACTCTGACAAAAAGGGAAACTTTTCTTTTTAAACATTTTTAAAAATTAAAGTATTTAAGATGGAGATTTAAACCAGAACTGTTCATCTGGGTCAAAATGTGGTTACTTGCAGTTCTTCTTGCATATCTATCATCTCCATTCTCACTCCATGCCAACAACCTCATTAGAATCAATAAATCATACACATGCTAGCCCTCCTGTGCCTGCTGCTAGTCTTATGTTTGCCCTGAAACATGATAAGATGGTTGGTGGGGGGTAGTGTTCAATGGTTTATTTTATGTTATTTCTGGTAGCAGAGCCAGGCTGCACAAGACTTTCCCATCTCCCGCAGACACGGTAAACTTTCTTTTCCCAAAGTGAAAGGGAACCGGTCTCTTACCATATCCTTGCCAGGATCAGGAGCTGCCAGTGTTCATGAGGCTGGTTTGGCTGCAATAAGGTGATTTGAAAGGGGAAAATACATCTGGTTTGGTTAAAATAGGAAGGAAAGACACTGCTCCTTCCCTCTTAGTCTCTCCCTCTGTTTTGGAACCCTATACACTGAGCATGAAACATACTACTCGGTAAGCCAGATGTCGATTTAAGGAAGACTTCATGGAACTGTAATATCCCCCATTGGCCTTTCAGTGAACACCCAGAAGGGTATCATGCTGTGGAGGGAGCTAGGGTAAAAGGATCAGTTCCTTTTACCACCTTGGCAGTTCAGTAACAAATCAGGGTTTGTGTTTTATGTCATATCATACCCTCCCAAGATCCAACCCTTCTCCCATCTATCATGATTTGCAAAGCTCTTGTGTTTCCCTGGGCACCCCAGTCTTCCAGCTCAAACTTCACTCCGTTATTTTCTCTGTCTTATGAATTAAATAGTGTTTTGTTTTCTTTTTTAATTATATAAAACCCCACTACTCTTTGTGGCATCAACGACAGAACTTCCAAAAGTTAAGAATTTAGAGTCAAATTGATAATAACTGAATTGCTAGTTAAACAATAATTTTTAAACAAACTCAACAATACTATGAGCAATGCAAGTTCCTCTCCCATCCCCCACCCCCAATACCCTATCCCCAAGCAGAGGCAAAGCTGACTTGCCATCCTATCCTAAAACACTCCGGGAACCAATGCCATTTAAATTCTTATGTCCCCAAATGCTTTGTTTAGTGTGCAAATAGATGATCTAACTTTTTTCCTGGAATATAAATTCTTGAAGGCCATGGGTTACACTCTATGCCTCCTTGCTTACCCCGTAAGTATTAGTTGACTATGAGTATGATCAAGGGGACTGAGGTGTTTACTTAATAGGGAACTGGGATGATGAATATGGCTCGAGAGCAGGGATATTTCTCTTTCCTCACTGACCAGCCCCAAAAGACTTGTCAAACTATTGAATGCCCTCCTATGCACACAGAGGCCAGCTCTCTGAGGTATAAAAGATGTTCAAAAAGAAGAATAAAAATAAAAGCATAATGAGCAGTCCCTCAACCAAAGAACTAAGCACTCCCTTTTGTGTTTCTTCCCTTGCAAAGGGGAAAGGGGACCCTAATTTTGCAAGACTTCAAAAAGAGGGTGCAGAAGGGCAATTGTTTCAAGGTGACAATCATTCCTCTGTGTGCTCCTCCCCCATCCCAGATTCTGCCAGGCAACTGCCAGTCCCTTCTGAGGAATGACATTCCCACCCCCTGCTCTCGGGCAATTTCCTCTCATTCTACTCTGGTCTTTTCATCCAGAGCAACTGTGCATACCAATGAGCAAGACAGAGACGTTCTTCTGGATAGGGCCTCAACACCATTTTTATCTTGTTTCAGCTGTGAACCCCAAAGTCGTTTCCATTGCCAACCGAGTTGCTGAAATTGTTCATTCTTGGCCACCACCGGAAGAGAGCCACACCCAGGGAGGAAGTTCCAGGTTTAAAGAGAATTTTGTACCACAAGGTTCCATCATTCAGCTCCAAGGTTCCCAGTCTGGAGGTACAAGTGCTAAGAAAGGTAAATTGTCCTTCTTAATGTGTTTATGAGGCAGACATACACAACTATGTCTGTATTCATTCAGCTCATGGTTCTGCTACTTGAGAATCTCCACTGACCTGTACTAAAGGAATGGCAGCATGCTGTGGGCACTGAGCTCCAATCTGAGGTACCAGTTTGAATCATGAGGGACCTGCAGTAGCATGTTGAACCAACACACCAACCATACTAAGTCAAAAGAGTAGTTTCCTACTGAGGAGGAGGAACAAACAAAAAGCCTGCGTTCAAACTTGTCCACTGGGGAAAATGCAATATTAGATTTGATCATGTTACCAATGGCCATGGTCCAATTTGCTCATGGGAGTGCACTGGGTGTCACTGGAACCTCAACCCAGGGATTCATAATATTGTTTTGATCTTATAGGGTGTAGAACATGAAGCAGAACTGAGAAGTCATGACCACATTGGATCACTTGCCACTAAAACTATAGCACTCACTATCTAGGACTATAAATCCCATGAGGACTGAGAGAACTCTGGACTAGGAGGGAAGACTTGAGATGAGAAAAACAGAAGAGCCTCAGTCTTGTTTGCTCACTAATATTCTGTAGTGTGGTGGCTTAGAGAGTTATCAGCCTCACTCATGGCTCTTTCCTTAAACTTCAGTGGAAGATGTGGGGTTTGCAGTACACCAGAACACAAGGCAAAAATGCTCTCTCTGAAAGCATTATGTCCCTCGCCCCCTGAAGTACACTGGTGAGCTTGTCTACCCCAGGCTGTGCTGTTGGGGCCAGCCCTGGGGTGGGGTGGGGTGGAGGTCACCACAAACTGCCACAGAGGTTTTTAGAGTGTAAATGTAAGGAGCTGTAGGAAACAAGGACCTCTCTGAATCTGCTAAAAAGAAAACACACAAAAAAGTGTCCCGATTCTATTTGCTACTTTGAGTGTGATTGGGAGCAACACCCCTAAACCATGTTAAAGCTGAGGCTCGTTTGCCACGCCCATGAGAAATGGAGGCAGCTGTTAGAACCACTTTCAGCATAAGATGAAAAGGATTCATGGGCTGTGTTCCTTCTTCTCTCAAGTGACTTGAGATTCAGTCTTCCCACTTAGCACTGCCTTTGTCCTTCTCTCGGCCTTCTTGGGACTTGCTAGAGGAAGTCACTGGTCTCTCTTCCCCTCTTCTCTGGGACAAACTCTATGATTACAAAGATTATGGCATAAGTAAGAAATGGTATTCCCTCAATAACTAGTTTTCCTCTGTTTGGATTCTCTTCTATAGCAGGGCCTATTTTTACCATGTTTAGTTGTTAGCAAATTTTGAGTCAAGAAAAATGATCCTCTCCTCTTCTGTTCCAACATCCACACCACACACCAGCTGCAGCCGTCTCCTATCTCCATTCTGACCTTTAGGGTAGGAGAATTTCTTAATTTTATTTATTTGTACCCCACCTTGTTCTAAAAACATGGCATACAAGGAGATATAAATTTTAGTAAAATAAAAGAAATCAAATTTATTTGTGAGATAATATGTAAATGAAAACAAGAGTAGGAAAATAAGATGGGTTTAGGTATGAGGTTAATTTCCAAAATATAGGCCAGATAAACTATACACCCTCTTAGATGTGGACCACAAATTTGGCCCTATACAGTCTCATAGCTCATACAAAGAGGGGGACATGATCAAATATGTGACTTCCAGGTGTCCTTGAAGGGGGAAAAAGAAAGATACCAATTGCTTGGGAAACACCTAGAGGCCAGAGGGAAATTTCTTTCACCCAATTATCTTAATAGAAACAATCACATGCAATGGAACAGTTGCAAATAGAAACGAATTTCACAGTGAGAACTGGGAAACCAAGCAAAGAGGAGAAAAGGAAGGAGAAGACTAAGGGAAAAGGTGTCTGGGATGGTTTGTGCCTGAGCAGAAGAGATGAGGTAAAATGTAATGTGCTAAGAATTAGAAGGTTTATTTCTTTCTTCATCCCTAACCAGGCCACAAGTGTTGCTACTGGAAAAATTTTAAGGCTACTTTAAAAAATTTTTTTTTGTCTCTTGCTTCTCTTAAAAGAAATAACTGGAATTTTCCCCTGACAGATGGAGAACAGCAAATAATAGCCAAAATTGTTGAATTGCTGAAATGTTCAGGAGATCAGTTGGACAGAGAGGTACGAAGCTTCATTAACTAATATGATTTCTTTCTGGGCCCATGCACTAGTCTTTGTGGATGGAATTATACTCCATTTGCAACCTTATTCCTTTTCAAAGTTCTGGTTTCCACTTAGTCCTAAATTTTATTTCCCTTGGAGTCAAAATTCTTCATGCTGGCAGTATCTCAAAAATGAATCACTTTGGAAAACATAAGTAAATCTTCTGGGGCCTCCTTGGAATTTTTGGAAACTAAAAAAGTTAACTTTGTTATTGCAAGAAAAGACACCAGTACATTAAAAATTGCTGAGTATTATTATTAATCTAGTTCCCCATGTAACTGATCTTCTGTGAAGTTTAGATGCCTGCATTTGCCCTACAGCCTGGATATCTGTACCCTAAGGTTGCTCAAAGGCTGGTGTCTATCTGAAATAATCTCCCCCTGTAATTGGTGAAAGGAGCTCTGGTGGTACAGCACATTAAGCATTGGGCTGCTAACCAAAAATCAGTGGTTCAAATCCTCCAATTGCTTCCTAAGACAGATGAGGCAGTCTGCTTCTGTAAATAGTTACAGCTTTGGGAACCCAGTGAGGCAGTTCTACTCTCTCCTTTAGGGTTGTTATGAGTTGGAATCTACTTGAGAGCAGTAAGTTCTTGGGTATAGTTGCTGATGGTCTCTCTCAACAACCCAGCCAGAGAGATAGGTTACTTAGAGAACATTTGGATTTTCTGTCATTTAAAATTGGTGGCCCATTATGCTAAGGAGCGGAACGGTGGGACAGTCAGTTGACCAGGCCCTCACTGTGGCCAGAAGTGATGTCACAGTTAAGAGGAGAATGCCCTTGATCAGGGCACACTAGATGTCAGCCACAGGCTGAGTATCTCTGTTGTGATGGTGGTTGTTAGCTACCATGGAGTCTGTCCACTAATGACACGATGACCCCATGCACATGTTAACAATATACGGAGTACGCTGTCCAGTCCTGTGCCACTCCCAGGATAAGATGCAGATTGGGCCCTTGTGATTTACAGAATGTTTTACTGGCTGATTTTCAAAAGTAGATGAGCAGGCCTTTCTTCTAGTCCATCTTAGTTTGGAAGCTTCTCCGAAATCTGCTGAACATCATGGCAACCTGCAAGCCTCCATTAACAGGCGTGTGGTAGCTATGCATGAGATGCTTTGGCCCAGAATCAACCCTGCTCTCCCACATGGAAGAAAAGAATCCTACCACTGAATCAATGTCCCCCTTAGTAGTTTCTAGGGTCTGTCAATCAGATGCTGGCTTATGGACCCATTGCCTTGTATTTTCCAAGATGCAGGGGAGGAAGTTAGGCCCTGTGGGGTGGGAAAAAGTACTAACTGGCCGGTGTCCTAACCACAATCACAACATGCTCAGGGCTCTGTCAGACATGTGACTTGAAGGTGTGCACCAGGAAGGTGACAGACATGGCACATAATGGTTCAGAAGGAGGAACAGTTTAGAAATCCAGGGCATTCCACTAAAAAAGAAAAAAGGAAAGAAGGTGTAAGAGCTTTGAGGCCACAGTTGAGGGGTACAGAGGAACTAGTAGCAGAGCATGGTGCCTGCTTTCAGGACAACACTGTTTCTCCTCAATTAGCATCCATCAGTAGTTACAAAGTGTCGGGGTCTGACCTCGACATAGTTGTGTTGTTCACGAGTGTTTGGTTCACGAGGAGGGGAGATCCAGCGGCGATAGAGATAGCAAAAGAGACAAAGACACGCAAAGAGAGAGACAAAGAGACACTCCGAAACCAGAGTGAATGCTGGACTGGCATCAGGCAGATCCTGCATTGCAAACATCTCAGCCACGAAGGCCGTAATATCCTGCATAGTAAACATCTTAGCTAAACAGGCAGTATGGTTGCAAGGCTGGACTGTGCCCCCTGCATGCTGTAACGCACGCCTTGCCAGTCGTAATGCACCTGGATTCGTTCTGCGCCTTCCTTTTATTTAGGGGAGGTACTTTACACAAAGCTAGGAGGGGACTAAGACAAGATACAGCTGTCAATCTTATTTTTCCAGACATTTAGGCAACTTTACATCTTACTTCGCAGGTTCGAATCTCACCACCGCAACTTGGTTTCTCAAGCTTAATTAACATACCTTTTAGCACCTAGCCTCAAATGGAGGGAGGAAAGGGAGGATTGGGAGGATTCCTATTGTGTCGGCTGCCCAGCCCAGGTTCTTCAGGAAAAGAGGCGCCTGGGTGAATAGGCAGCACCTGGAAACACTTTAGGGAGGGCATTCCTATTGTCCTTGGAACAGACCAGGGAGCCACCCAATTTACCTTGAATGAATTCTCTGAGGGAAGAACTTTGCCTGTTTGGAATTTTACAGTCTTGACTTTTAGGAAAATATTACATTTATCTGTGTATATCAAGGGCTTCATGTCTGCAATTAATAAAACATAACTGGACACTAAGATGAAAAATAATTTGTTATTAACTGCCAGGTGGCTAGATCTGTTACACTCGGGCCTATAGGGCCTCGAACCTCTGATCAGGCCTACATGGTCTGCAACAACAAAGCAGGCAGGGCTGCCCATCAACATCAAGGGCATTCTTATGAAGGAACCATCTCCCTGTCCCTAGAAGAATCTCAAGTCAGTGCCATTAACCAATCAGCAGTTGAATATTGAAATTGCTGTTAAGTGCTGTTGAGTCAGTTCCAACTCATAGCTACTCTGTATAGGGTTTCTGAAGGGGAGCTGGTGAATTTTAACAGCTGACCTTGCAGTTCAAACCGACCTTGCAGTCCAGTGCATTATCCCACAGTGCCACACCAGGACACCAAGAATCTAAACTGGGAGGGGTCAATTAGATGACCTCTAAAAGGGTCCAAGAGAGATTTCCCTTTTCACTTCACAAATCACCACTTTAAGACGCCTCACCTTACTGGATACTCTCTCAAGATACGGAGTGACGTTTTACATTGTTGTTGTTGGTAAGTGCTGTGGTCAGCTCTTATGCATACTGACCCTGTATAGGCTTTTAATTTTGCAGGAGCAGAAAGGCTCATTTTTCTCCCGTGGAGTGACTGGTGGGCTCAAACTGCTGACCTTGTGGTTTGCAGTCCACTGCTTATCCTATGGCATCACCACACTCTCTACAGATGTTATTCCCTTTTTGCATTTACCCAATAAACAACTCTGGAATACACCCTAGGTCTGACTTGTGATGTATGGGGTGTGAATTCTCACCACAAGGTGGGTAAGAAATAATGAGGAGAGGGCTTGGGGATGTAGCTGCAGTATACCCTCAAAGCTACTGATCCCTGAGAGCTCAGGTAGGTCCACAGTCTTGTCCTGTAACCTCTGGGTCTCCCAAGAGCCAGATACAACTAAGAGGCAAAGGAAAGGGAAAAGCAAGCTCTGTGGAAGGTGTTTGTTCCTGGTTCAGGTGTCCAGCTGCCTGCTTTGGTTTTTCAGTTGGCTATCTGAAAGTGAGTCAGGGAAGTCTATTCTTGGTCTGGAGATGCTAGTCCTTCCTGTTTCAGATCAATAATCCAGGTTGGACCCTAGTGTCTCATGGAAGTTGGGAGATGGGCTTGGTTCACATAAAGGACACTGAGCATTCACCAAAATCTCAAAGCATCCAAGTCATACTCAGACTATCCCTTTTCAGAATATTTGTTGGAAACCTGTTTATTATTTCTCAAGGACAGAACTAGAGGATTTTGAAATAGACATTTAGCCTTGCTCACTAAGAAATTCCTATTTTCCTCACTGTAGCCATCATGTTAACTGACAGATGTTGAAAGGATGATTTTAAATGAAAGTGATATATATCTTTGTTGTTGAGTGCCTTTGAGTTGGTTCTGACTTATAGCGACCCTGTATAGCTTTTTCATGGAGCAGTTGGTGAGCTTGAACCACCAACCATGCAGTTCAAACTGACCTTGCAGTCCAGTGCATTAACCCACAGCACCACACCAGGACCATATACCTTTAATGACATTAAAAAAAAAAAATTGAAAAAAAAAAAAAAATGCCATGGAATCAGTTCCCACTCATGGTAACCCATGTGTGTCAGAGTAAGACTGTGCTATTCCTTAGCATTTCCTTTCTTTCTATTACTTAAAAAAAGAAAATTATTTTGTTGTTGAGAATATATACAACAAAATATATAGCAATTCAATCATTTCTTTAGGTACAATCCAATGACATTGATTACACTCCTTGTATTGGGCAACTATCCTCTCCCGTCTTTCCTGAGTTATTTCTACCCCCTTAATATAAACCTACTTTTCCCTAAGGAGCTCTAGTAGCGTAGTGGTTACGAGTTGGGCTGCGAACCTCAAGGTCAGCAGTTCGAAACTACTAGCTGTTCCGTTGGAGAAAGACGAGGCTTTCTGCTCCCATAAAGATTTACAGCCTCAGAAACACTGTACAGTGTCGCTCTGAGTCGGAACCAACTCCACAGCACATAACCACCACCACTTTTCCCTAACCTTCTTGCAAAAAAAAAAAACAAAAAAATATAGTACCAGCCATTCCTCCCACAATCCTTAACTAAGTTTGATAATTCATTGCAGTGGCCACACAGACCTCAAACACCATTGTCACACTTATGGGGTTTACTAGGCAAGTTAACAATTCCAAGTCAGAACTGCTTAGGGCACAATTGTTCAGGACTCAGCACTTCACCAAAAGTCTCAGCCTGAAGGCACTTGACTCTAGCTCCACGGTTCAGCAAATCTAGCTACACCTCTTATGTGCCTTCAGGCACCCTGCTCTACTAGCAAGCTTCCTGCCCAAAGTCATTCAACTTTACTTGCTTCATGGACTGGGAGGACAGATTCTCTGTCCCGTGCTCTGGTTCTTGGTTCTGCTGCTTCTGCTCCTCCGTTACTCCTCTGGCATCACAGCTTTCTGTCCCTAGGTCAAGGAGGTTCAATACACAGGAGTCTCAGTATCCAAAAGGACAAGCTCCCTTCCTAGCTCTTCTTCTTTGATGATAGTGAGATTCCCACCACCCCCTCCTGCTTCTAAGATGGTTTATTTTATACTCATGCTAGAGTTCCAGGTTTTTACAATTACAATTAACTCTACTAACATGCACAGCTGAATCATGTCATCCTATCTGTATCTTCTCCTACTTCTCTTAACCAGACCCAGCAGGGCAGAAACGTTGTTTGGTGGGAGTTACAGACAATGCTAGAAGAGACATTACACCACAGTTTCTATCTAATTTTTTGAGTTACTTTTGTCGCTTTGATCCCATGTAGATAGTCCTGAAAAGAGCACAATGCTCAAATCAGACATTTTTTACTACTTAAACTAAACTGTTGTTTGATTTTTAAAAGACTTCAGGCAGGTTATGTTGGTTTAAGCTTTAAAAATTATGTTAGGGCAACAATTTCAGGAGTTCATCCAGCCCCCATGGCTCCACAAAGTCTGGAGTCCATGAGAATCTGAAATTGTTCTGTATTTTCTCCCTTTTGATCAGGATTCTTCTATGGAATCTTTTATCATAATGGTAGCTGGGCACCATCCAGTTCTTGTTCATGGAGGCAATTAGCCATAGATTTCATATCTGCCTCCTAACTCCTGACTCCCTTCCTTTGTTATTTCAGGTAAATAGAGACCAATTGCCATGCCTTATACAGTATCTTGCAAGCTTTTGAGAACCTGGACACTACCCAACAAACCAGAAGGGAGAACAAAAGCATTAAACAGGTTATTAGGCCAATTAGTTGGGAAGTTCCAAGACACCTGCAACCTCCAAGCTAAGGACTCAAATCCTGTGATGGTTTTGGTTGTACATAGCAGCCTCAACAGCTGCTGTATTTTGGATTGGTGAAAATATATCCCTCATATGACTTTTGCCAGTTCAGCTTCTTACAGGTGTACAACTTATTGATAATAATTACAATAATTAACCCTAACCTTGTTGTTAAGGAGCTCTGGTAGTGTACTGGTTATGAATCGGGCTGGGAACCTCAAGGTCGGCAGTTCAAAACTACCAGCTGTTCCATGGGAGAAAGATGAGGCTTTCTGCTCCCGCAAAGATTTACAGCCTCAGAAACCCTGTACAGGGTTGCTATGAGGCAGAACTACTCCATGGCACTCATGTTGAGTGTCATCCCGTCAGTTCCAACTCATAATGACCCTCCAAGGAGCAACTGGTGGGCTTGAACTACTGACCTGGAAGTTAGCAGTCCAGTGCTTATCCTACAGCACCACACCAGGACTCCTAACCCTACCCTTAACTGATGTGATTTTTTGGGGGGTGCTACCACACTGTTTTCCACAATGCCGATACCATTTTGCATTCTCTCCAGCAATTTCCCCACAACTTGCTGACATTGGTTATTTTCGGTGTCCTCGTACAGGCATGGATGAGATGGTATCTCACTGTGGATTTGATTTGTATCTCTCTGATAACTAATGATGTTGAGCATCTTTTCATGTGTGTGGCAGCCCTTTGAATGTCTCTTTGGTGAAACATCAACTGAAATCCTTTACCCATTTTTGATTGGCTTATTTGTCTTTTTGTTAAGTTATCGATGTTTTATATGTATTTTGGTTAATAGATTCTTGTTGGGTATATGGTTCCCAATATTCTCCAGTTAATACCTTGTCTTTTCCTGTTTTTGGTAAAGTCTTTGATGAACAGTAGTTTTTAATTTCTATGAAATCTCTGTGATTTATTTTGTCTTTTGCTGTTTGTGCTTTTGTTATTATATTACATAATCCACTGTTGAAAGGTAGGTCTAAGTATTGCTCCTGTTTGTTCTTATAAGAATCTTAGGGTTTTAGTTTGCACATTTAGGTCCTTAATACCTTTGGAATTTGTTTTTGTATATGGTATGAGGCATGGATTCTTTTCCATTTTTCTGTATGTGGAGATCCAGTTTCTCCAATACCGTTTATTGAAGAGACTCTTCTTTCCTTACCGAATAGACTTAGCACCTTTGTTAAAAATCAATTGGCCATAAATATGTGGGTTTATTTCTGAAGTCTCAATTCTATTCCATTAGTCTAGGTGTCTACGTTGTTGTTGTTGTTGTTAGGTGCCATCAAGTCTGTACCGACTCATAGCACCTTATGCACAGCAGAACGAAATACTGCCCAATCCTGGACCATCTTCACTACTGTTGCCACGCTTGAGTCCATTGATGCTGCCACTTTCCCAATCCATCTCACTGGGGTGCTTCCTCTTTTTCTCTGACCCTCCACCATACCAAACATGATATCCATCTCCAGTGACTGGTCCCTCCTGACAATATGTTCCAAGTATGAGAGATGAAGTTTGGCCATCCTGGCCTCCAAGGAGCATTCTGGCTGCGCTTCTTCCAAAACTGATCTATTGGTTCTTTTGGCAGCACATGGCACTTTCAATATTCTCCTCCAACACCATAACTCAAAAGCATCAATTCTTCTACAGTCTTATTTACTGTCCAGCTTTCACATGCATATGAGGTTGTTGAAAATACCATGGCTTGGGTCAGGTGCACCTTAGTCCTCAAGCTCTTCAACACTTTAAAAAGGTTTTGTGCAGCAGATTTGCTTAAAGCAATACATCGTTTGATCTCTTGACTTTTGCTTCCATGAGTGTTGATAGTTGATCCAAGAAGAATGAAGTCATTGACAACTTCAATCTTTTCTCCATTGATAAGAATGTTGTTTATTGGTCCAGTGGCATCTATGAAGGAGTTTCAAAAAGTTTGTGGGAAAATTGCATTATCTTTTCATTCCATTATTCCATGAATTTTGTGAAGTCCCACATATAATTTTACCAATACCAGGCTGTTTTGATTACTGTAGCTGTATATGTTTTATCTAGGATTCCTCATGTGGTGCTGTAGGATTAGCACTGGGCTACTAACCACAAGGAGTCCTGGTGTGGTGCTGTGGGCTGATGCGTCAGACTGCAGTCATTTGAACTGCAAGATTGGTGGTTCAAGCTCAGCAGCTGCTCCTTGGAAACCGTATACAGGATTGCTATGGGTTGAAATTGACTCGACGGCACTTAAGAACAACACTAACCACAAGGTCAACAATTCAAACTCACCAGCTGCTTCCTCAGAAATCCTATACAGTGTTGCCGTGAGTCAGAACCAACTCAATGGCACTTAACAACAAACAACAACTATGGGGTTCTTAATGGCTGATTTTCAGAAGTAAATCAATAGGTGCCTCTTAGTGAACTTCAATTAGCAGCTGAGTGTATGGTGTGAGGCATGGATCCTGTTTCATTTTTTCTGTCCAGTGCTAACCATATGCACCGTCCAGGTTAATTACATAAGCCATGCTTTTTTCTTTCAAAAGAAACAGGCAGTATTGATTTATTTAAAATGAATAAAGCAGATAGCAGACTCAAGAGAGGGTTGGGAGGTAGGATGGTTGGAGAGAATAATGGGGACTGAATCCAGGGTTTGTCTCCAAATGTGGACTTCAGGGAGTCTTTGCCCTAGCCTCTTGTGCTCCCACAATATCCTGAAAATATTACTAAGATTTAGAGGGCACCTCCTTCATGTCTGGCACTATACTCAGTGCTTTACTCAATTACAAGCACAGGTGTGATCAAGGAGCCTGGTGGCACAGTGTTAAGTGTTTGGTTGTTAACTGAAAGGTCAGAGGTTTGAATCCACCAGTCGCTCTGCAGGAGAAAGGCCTGTCAGTCTGCTTCCGTAAAGATCACAGTCTAGAAAACCCTGCGGGGTGGGCTACTCTGCCAATAGGGCTGCTGTGAGTTGGAATCAGCTCAAAGGCAGTGGGTTTGGCTTAGTTTTATAGGTTCTATTATCATCCCAGTTTAGAGATGTCACAACTGAGGCCAAGAGGTTAAGCAACTGCCCCAAGATTGCACAGCTAAAGAGATGGGGCAGGGATTTGAGCCAAGATGGTCTAATTCTGCTCATTCCTTCACCTCTAGCAAACCACTTACTTCTGTGTTGTAATTGCCAGTGAACCCTTTGAGTCATGGCCTGATTCTTAATCATCGTTCTATTCCTTCTGCTCAATGCAGTACTTTCCCCTTATAAGTGCTCAGAAAATATTAGTTGAATGCTGAACAAGTGGTTTGTTCAATTTTTTCACTTATGTTCTCATGAAATAAATTCACAGAGCAAGTAACTTAACAAGGTTCAGGTTACCAAAAAAACCCAAAAACAAACCACCAAATCACACAGGCAGTGGAAAACACTGTTCTCACAAAGAGAAGAGATATAACAAGGTCACCTTCAGTTGTGGGCACTGGTCTCCCATGGCCAGTGAGTTGCTTTCTCACGCCAGTGCAAGGCAAGCGTCCTACACATACCCTTCTTGTGCTGTAGGTGAGACCCTGTTCTCTTCCCAATGGGAAGAGATACAGAAGTGGGCATGGCCAAGTGGCCATCTGCTGCTCATGCATGAGCAAGAGGCAGAGAAAGTTACTGTGAGCCCAGAACAGGGAGGAAGGCTTCTCTGATTAGGAGAAGGAAGAGAGAAAATTAGTTGTCAGCCTCCTTATCAGAGAATTATGGGCCCAAGACCTCTGTGTATGTGACCTGGAATGGAGGACACAGAGGGAGACTGTCCTCCTAACAGCAGACACATACCTGAACTGCCATGGTTGAGACTAAAGTCCAGGGATTTTCCACTAGGTGTTCTAGTGGCCCATTGTTGATCTAGAGAGTGGCTTTTCATATACATCACTGGGTCCAGCATCTCTACTGACTGCTTATTCTCTTGTACACAGTTGAGGAAAGACAAGGCTTTGATGAGCGCTTTCCAGAAGGAGCTGACCTACTATATCTTCAGGACCATCATAGACCGGTTCCTCTGGACTGTGGACACCAGGGGTGAATCAGAGGTTAAAGCTCAGGGCTTTAAGGCTGCTCTTGTCATAGATGCTGCTGCCAAGCTTACTGCCATCGACAACCATCCCATGAATAGGGTGCTTGGCTTTGGGACCAAATACCTGAAAGAAAACTTCTCACCCTGGATCCAGCAGCATGGTGGATGGGTAAGTGTATCCTATTTAAAAATTAATCTTCCAGAATTCAGAGGGAGAGGGGATGGGACGTTGTTTTTTGTTTTTGTTTTTGTTTTTGTTTTACAAGGGAACACATCTGTGTAATAATTCTCATGGGATTAGAACACTTGAGTGACAAGAGATACATCCCATTGATGGGAACATACTTTTACTGATTATCTTCTTTATCATCAACAAATATTTACTGAGTTCACAAAGGGTATGTGGGGTTTGTGTGTTGGGAAGAAGGGTTGGTCAGATATAACAGGAAATGAGGTGATGCTGAGATATAAAATGTTTAGAGAGATAACTTTTGCTAGCTCTCATTTTGCAGACTACAGAAGTCTGGCCAGGAGACAAGGGGAGGCAGACCATTCCTTCTTGTTCATATTGTCAGATGCTGACAGGGTCTGTAGGGTAATCCTCATGCAGAAATTTAGAATTCATGACATTTAGTCATGGCTGCATTTGACTCGGACAATTTGATTCAAACTAAAAAGCAAGCCATTAAATTTTCATCTATTATTAATTACTCATATCTGGCAAAATAGACATCTTCACCCCCCATACTTGAGCCTCAACCCCTCCCCATCTTAATTCTCATTCTTTCAGATCTTCTTTAAACTGCTCTGTTTGAATGACTACATAATGGTCTACCCTAGAGCTTTAAATCTTAGCAGGCCTAGAGCATTGTCCATTCAATCTGTTCCTAGGAAGAACCATCTTCACCCCACATGATCCTTAGTCTAACTCTTTCCACTGAATTGCTCAGGGGTTGGAGGAGGTTGGAGAAGGACCCCAGGTGTGGCCAAAGTAACACTGGGGCCTCCAAATAGGCTTGGTCGCTTGGGTTCCAGAAGCAAAGTACAGCTGGTCTTGCCTAAGGGGCTAAGAAGCCTGTAGTATGTTTCCATGACTGTTCATTCAGCTCATCTAGTCTTCAGTTCCGATTTTCCACTTTTGCATCTAAAGTCATACCAAGTAAGTGGCTGATTTGAGCAAAAAACACTTTTGTTTTGGTTGTTGTTAAGAGCAGTTGAGTTGGTTCCAACTCATAGCAACACTGTATAGGGATTCCAAGGACCTGCTGGTGCTGGGTTTGAACCACTGACCTTGTGGTTAGCAGCCCAGTGCTTGTCCTACAGCATCATACCACGATGTATTCTGAAGTCAAGCTCCTTAGCTCATCCTGAAAGGAGAGTGGTGGTGGTGGTGGTGGTATGCATGCATGACCCTGTACAGGGTTTCCAAGGCTACAAATCTTTACAGGAGCAGAAAGCCTCATCTTTCTTCTGTAGAACAGCTGGTAGTTTCGAACTGCTGACCTTGAGATTAGCAGCTCGATTCACAACCACAACATTACCAGAGCTCTTTGAAAGGAGGGTAGATTCTGCAATATTATTTTAGTTAGCCCTGGATTGCTAACTATAAGGTTGGCGGTTCAAACTCACCAGCTCCTTGAAAACCCTATACAGGGTCGCTACGAGTCAGAACCGACTCAACAGCAGTTAATAGCAATCCTTCCTTCAGGGAGAGATGATGGTTAAACAGCTCTGTGGATTGTACACGGACTTGTATACCCTAAAAGGATAAATTATATGGCATGTTAATTATATGTAAATAAATTGGTTATAAAAACAGTGACTAATTCTAGTAATCAAATAAAAAGCAACGAAATGAATACAAATGCTTTTATTTATTTTTATTTGGCTGCTAGAAAGAATAGTATCAACTGGAGAAAACAGATGGCCTCGCTCAGTAAAAATAATAAAGAGGATTTTCAAGGCTTTAGAATTTGATGACATTGGTTCTTTTTCATCTGTAGTTTCAATTTTAAATGTATTACTTTCCTTTTCCACGACATCGTAAATCCTAATCTTAATATTTGGGTATAGTTAGGTTTAGTTTGGAGTATCTAGCTGGAAATTAGAAAAGGGAGGAAAAAGAATAAAAAAGAAAGGGCTGATTTTTCCAAATCAACAGAGAAAAGGTTAGCGAAAGTAAAGGGGCAGCTGATAAAAGAATACTTATGGGTGGATATGAGCTATGAACATCTGAAGGGGGTGGGGATTGGGATCTGGGTTCAATTGCCTTGAGTAATGTAGCAAGAAGACACAGTGGCAAGTCCTCAGGAGCTCCCACTGGCCCCAGGCATCTTGGTGGCCCTCTGGAGAATCCTTGTGGTAGTGTGAAAGGAGGGAACACTAATCCTAGTTGCAAGTTTTCCAGAAGCTCAACGCTCCTAATACCTTGGTATTATATCTGTCATATGAGTACATCTAATTTTCCCAACTAAACTGCTAATAACTCTCATTATTTTTATATACATCACAGACGTTCGGCCACATTCATATAAATGAATGAATGTTTCCCAACTAAACTGCACATAACTCTCATTATTTTTATGTACATCATAGACGTTCGGCCACATTCATGTAGAATGAATGAATGTATCAAAAGGATGAACAGTTGCTCCATCTACAAAGCATGCTAATCATGAGGTTCTTTGTTGTTGTTGTATTTAAAACGGGATTTAATTTATTACCTGACCCTTTCCCTAACCCTAGAGTACTGTTCACATAGTTTACCCTGCAGTGCTATGACCTCACACAATCTATAGCACTGTGAATGGAGAGATGTCTGCAATCTCCATTGTCTCCAACCTTTCAGGACCTACTTTTATGAATTTAATATATAGCATCAAAGCTTTCTCCCATCAAGAAAAGATGCAGCCTGTTAGCCCTGGATGTATAACATACATTCCTTCCCTTGCAGACATACCAATGATACCAGGCACCTTTCCAAACGCTCCCCAACCCTAACACAGTCTCCAAAACTTGGGTTGTGCCTGGGATAAGACAGCAGAGTTAACAGGCATATGTTTTCACTTGAATAGTGAATCAAACTTGGAATTTTAAGAATCTATTTCTCTTTTCCCCCTGTAGGAAAAAGTACTTGGAGTATCATCACATGAAGAAATAGACTGAAACATCAGAAGATTCATCATCTGGAATCCTCATTATCTAACTGTGCCCCCATAGACATCAACCTCAGTATATAGACTGTGGGAGAAGGGAAAAAATGTACATGGCCGATAGAGCACTTAAGTTTTCAAAACCATTGAATCCGCATGAATCAAGAGGCATCAGAAGAGTCACTGTTCACCTCCCGCACATAGGACATAGTAGCATGGCCGTGACACTGATGTTTTTCAGACTCTCCATAGTGTTTGTGAGGAAGGCATTATCTCACTACCTCCATTGGCTTCCTTAGGGAAAGTGTGCTACAGACGTCTGCAGATCTGATGAGGGCAAAATGATAAATTCTCCATTGCTTACTCTTTGGATTCTAGTAATATGTTTGTGTTTTTTTTTTCTTAAATGTTTTATTGTGAAGTAATATGTATTTTTTAAACTACATTTTGAATGACCTGGTATGGTGCTGTAGGATAAGCATTGGACTGTGAACCACAAAGATAATAGTTCAAATTCACCAACTGCTCCTCGGGAAACCCTTAGTTGTTACTATCGTTGTTAGGAGCCATCAAATCAACACATACTCTTAACGACATTATGCATAACAGAACAAAACATTGCCCAGTCCTCTGCCAATCTCACATTTACTGCTACGATTGAGCCCATTCCTGCTGTCACTGTGCCAATCCATCTCATTTTCCCCACCCTCTACTTTACCAAGCATGATGTCTTCTTCAGGGACTGGTTCCTTCTGATAAAATGTCCAAAGTATGAGAGATGAAGTCTGGCCATCCTGGTTTCTAAGGAGCATTTTGGCTGAACTTCTTCCAACACAGGTTTGTTCCGTTGGTACTTTTAATACTCCCCAATGCCATAACTCAAATGCAACAATTCTTCTACGATCTTTATTCATTGTCCAACTTTTACATGCATTACATACATGTTTATTGAAAATACCATGGCTTGGGTCAGGTGTACCTTTGTCCTCAAACTGGCATCTTTGCTCTTCAACACTTTAAAGAGATCTTGTCTAGCAAATTTGCCTAATTTAATACGTTGTTTGATTTCTTGACTGCTACTTTCTTGAGTGTTGATGGTTGATCCATGGAAAATGAAGTCATTGACAACTTTCAACCTTTTCTCTATTTATATGGATGATGTCTATTGGTCCAGTGGTGAGGATTTCTTTACAATGAAGTGCAAGCCATACTGAAGGCTATGGTCTTTGGTCTTTATCAGTAAGTATTTAAGTCCTCTTCGCTTTCAGCAATCAAAGTTGTATCATGGCATATCACAGGCTGTTAATGAGTCTCCCTTGTATCCTAATGCCATGTTCTTCATATAACCCAGCATCTGGAATTATTTGTTCAGCATACAGATTGATTAAGTAGGGTGAAATAATACAACCCTGGTGCATGCCTTTCCTAATTTAAAATCATTCAGGAGTCCCCTTGTTCTGTTCAAACAGCTACCTCTTGGTCTATGTACCGGCTCCTCATAAACATAATTAAGTGTTCTGGTATACTCATTCTCTGCAACATTGTCCACAGCTCGTCATGAGCCACACAATCAAAAGCCTTTCATAGTCAATAAGGAACAAGTAAACATCTTTCAGGTGGTCTCTGCTTTCAGCCAAGATTCAACTGATGTCAGCAATGATCTCTCATTCCATATCCTTGTGTTTGTCTGATTCAAATGGTTAATACCAGTCTATTTCAGCTCACTAATGCCTGGTAAAGTGATGCTTATGTGTCCCATTTCATTTTTGACAACTTCCAATTTTCCTTGATTCATACTTCATACATTCCATGTTCCAATTATTAATAGATGTTTACAGTTGTTTCTCCTTATTTTGAGTTGTGCCCCATGAGCAAATGAAACCTGAAAACTTTACTTCATTCGTGTCATCACAGTTAACTCTACTTTGAGGAGACAGCTCTTTCCCAGTCGTATTTTGAGTGCCTCCCAACACAAGGGTCTCATCTTCTGTCACTCTATCTGACAATATTCTGGTGCTCTTCATCATGTTTCAATACTCAATATTCTGATGCTGACAGTATTCCACTGCTATTCCTAAGGTTTTTGGTGACTAAATATTCAGAAGTAATCCATCTCTTCTTCCTTGTCTGTCTTAGTCTGAAAGATCGGCTGAAACCTGCCCACCCTGGGTGACCCTAATGACACTTAAAATACTGGTGGTGTAGCCTCCAGAACTGCAGCAATTCATAAGCCATCACAGTACGACAAACTGTCAGATGAGTGGTGGGGAAGCCCTATGCAGGGTCACTATGAGTTGGAATCGACTCAACGGCACGTAACAAGAACAACAACAACATAGGCATTGTTTCAAGCATACCTTTTGGAAGATATTCATGACCTGAATGCACATAAGCAGATGTAGCTTTAAAAGACCTGCAAACTTTACTCCTATATTGCCTTGTTGGAGGAGCTGGTTTTGACTCTGCAGTTTTGATTGAAAAGTCCGTTGGCATTTTGAAAAACTTCCATCTGGCAGAAAACCATGACACCCAGCAACCTCCTCCTCTCTTCTTAGTAACCACCCCACTTCTCAAGATCTCTAGGATTTTCTTTGTGGTAGTGTTAGGATTGTTGTTGTTAAGTGCCATCAAGTCGGTTCCAACTTATAGCGACCCTGTATAGTGTTATGAGTTGGAACTGAATCCACAGCACACCACTACCACAACCAAAAATCAAAGGTGAGAGGATAAATGTGACTCCTTTTGCAGATATAGACTCTGAAGACCATCCTCCTCCCACTTTGCCCCACTCATTCCAAATTGTGCAGTTCCTCAAATGTATTGTACAACCTTTTATCTCTGAACCTTCATAACAATACTTTCTCTACTTGGAATGCTCTTGCTTCCTGGATCAATTACACCCAATCCCTACCTCATTCTTACTAATCCAACCATCTATCCAAATCTGGAGTCCTGGTGTGGCTCTGTGGGTTAATGCGCTGAAATGGAAAGTTGGTTTAAACCATAAAGTTGGGGGCTCAAGCTCACCAGCTATTCCTCAGAAACCCTATACAGGATCACTATGGGTCAGAACTGACTCAACGGTACTTAACAACAACAACAACATCCAAATTCACTCTGGCATTTTCTCCAGGATTTATTAGCCTTCCCTTGGCCACCAGGAGGCTTTGTTTGGATGGTTTCTCATAAGGATGCTCTACAACACCTAAAATGTGGTCATTATACTTAGTACATTGTATCGTAAGAATGAAATTACCCACAGTGGATTGTAAACTCTCTCCTTTGCCACCCAGTTGATTCTAATTCATTGGGACCCTATAGGACAGAGTAGAACAAACCCCCATAGAGATTCAAGGCTGAAGTCTTTACGGAAGCAGACTGCCATATCTTTCTCCCACAGAGCAGCTGATGGGCTTCAATAGCCAACCTTTTGGTTAGCAGCCAAGTGCTTACCCACTGCACCACCAGCACTCATTGTCTAATTTAACTTTGCACACTTAATTCCTAACATAATACCTAGCATACCATTGGTGTATGATTGCAGAAACATACCATAGCCTCACTCCTATAGCTGGGAATTTAGTGTGACTACAACATGTGTAATTTACCATGCTCTCCAAGTTAAAACAGCATTTGGAGCCTCCCTTCAAGATAAAGGACTAGGAAACAGCTGAATAATAATATTTACACAATAGTTTTCAGGACATTGGACATCAGGTAACAAAGGACTATTCTTGAGAGCTGACAAATGAGTTGAGTCCTGAGTGCCCCAGAGGACTTGGTGTGAGTATTGAGGCCATGTGAGGAGGGGGTCTGAAGTCTCCTTGAGGAAAGGGTAGAGCTGGGAGTTCGAGAAGGCCAAGGTGACAAAAGCTGGCAGAGCAGACAGAGGAGAGAAAGACTGCCACAGAAAACTCCAGAGATCTGCAGACAGGTCTCTCATGCTTGTGAAGAAATCACCAGAAGCTTAGGAGACAACCACCAGAAAAAATTAGAAGGAACACTTTCTAAAGCTTACACAGGGTCAGCAATAGTGCTCATTTCTACCACCAAAATCGAAAACATAAAAATTTGTATGATCACGGATAGAAAATTCAGAAGAGTTCTGTCTCAGCAGTGGGAAAAAGTTAACTCTAAAGGAAACACGTTTCTGGTCCTGTTCACAGCTTAAGAGCAAAAGTTAAAAAGATTAAACTGGGATCAGTAATTTGAAGCAAATATAGTAACTTTATATTTCAAAACTGAAAACAAACCAAATGCTCAGCAACAGATAAAAAGACAAATTATGGTAAACAATGAAATACTTGTTAAGTGACATCGAGTGGGTTCAGATGCATAGGGATCCTGTTTAGATTTCTAAGGAACAGTTGGTGGGTTTAAACCGCCAACCTTGCTGTTAGTTAGCAATTTGGTGCTTATCCTACCACACTGCACCAGGACTACAATGAAATACTAGTCAATAATAAAAGAATCAGAGAACAAACAAGATAGTGGATCGGGTGGAAGTGCAGTGAGGAGCTCCACTGGCAACAACACAGAATACAGGACCAAGCAGGCTCAGGGGATGGTCCCAGAACTCTGAACCACATATAAAGGAATATTTAGAAGGGTGGAAGACTTACTGCTGGGGGAGTTTGTGGCAGAAGCAAGAAATCCATTGCTTTCCAGTTCAGGATGCTCAGCAGCTCCCAGAGCCGCCATCTTGTGTGGGGCCAAGCGGGAGAAGGATCAGAGCGGCCAC